AACTAAACTATATATTAGATAAGAAAAGAAACTAATCTAGACTAATGTACAGATATCGAACGTCTGGAAGGAAGGGCATGGTTACTGCTGTACCAAAAATTTGACCAGTGAGAACCAAAAGCAATAGCTGCAGAAAAGGAGGAGGAGTTGTTATGTAGTGTTTGTGTAGGTTGCGGAAGTCCAGAGGAAGTTCAAGCAACAGTAAAATCGACTTTGATATTGTTTGAAGTTTTTCAAGTTTGTAGTGATGTGCATCGTGACAACCATATGTCATGAGCTGAGAAGAAAATATCATCAAATAAGGATGATAATAAACCTTGGGTGAGTTGTTTGTTGTTGGTGACGGAAGTGATTGAGGAGGAAAATGATGAAGGGATGATTCCTTTAATGAGATCCATAAAACATAAGTTGTTATTGAAAGAGTTGCAATACCATATTGAGGATTGATCAATAGCATCAATTAAAGTATCGTTGTTAGGTCTATTTAATTCTTTGAGGTGAGACAGGAAAGACTGTTTATGTTTTTGTATTAAATCAGTAAGAGAAGTTGCATTTTGAGGACAGGACCATATGTGATCAAAGTCTTCAATTGCAGTATTGCACCGGAAGCAGGTATTAGTGGTATAAAGTTAAGGATATCGTGCATTCATTATTGTAAAGGTGGGGAGTAGTTGTAGTAATAATTTGATCTTGAATTGCTTTCGTTTGCATGCATCAAATGATGTCACCCTAGCATTTTCTGAATCATTAAGAACGTAAAATAGAGTTTGCCAATCAATGTGAAAATTGTGATACTTTGCAAATTGTGGAAGGGATAAAAGTATTCCAGCCCAAGATGCTTGTTGCATGTATTTGATAAATAAACATGACAGTGTAATGATTGGTATATTATTATAGCTCATAAAGTATTTAGGACCAAGATGGTTATTGTTAATGCTCAAAGGAGCACCAGAGAGTTGTTTTGCTAAAGCATCTACTTTATTGTTAAGTTTGTCTGATCCATGAGCTTTGACTTTTGTTAGCGACAACACAATATTGTTGGATGTAATAAGTTGCATCAAGATCATCCAAATATGAAAATAAGGAATTTTGAAAGCAGGGTTCAGAGAGGAAGATTCCTCACATATGGTGATGATTTTGTAATACGAGGCAATTGCAGCTTGTGAATCTGTGCAGATTTCAATATTGGAATTGGGTGGAGCGGTGTATGTTGCAGCAAGTATAGCAACTATTTCAACTAATGTTAAAGAAGGAGAGTGTGAAACAAATGTTGCATTAAAGGAGAGCAGAGGCCAATTTTGATTAGTTTGTAACCACGCTATTCCCATCTGGCAGTCAGGAGATCCTAAAAATGTAAGAGAACCATCTGTATAAAATTGAAGAGCGTTAGCATTAGTGAATTGTAATTTAAAATGATCTAATTTATTAGTAGATATTTGATTAAAGGGGATAACATCTAAACTAGGTAAGGGTTTGGTTGGATATTGATAAAAAGATGTCAAAGTAGATAAAGCGACTTCACGAAGTATCAGATGAGAAAGACTACACCACCATCCTTCACGGGGTTTGTAAAAACTTTTAAATATGAAGCAAAATAACTTGGGTAGTTTGATGACACAAAAATAGTGGCATTGTTATTGTTTATAAGGTATAAAAGCTGAATGGTCAAAGAGATTACATCTAGTACAAGAAGCAATAGATGTTTGAAGGCAATTATCTTGATTTGGCAAATAATGTTATGCATGGATGATAGTATCTTCGACTTTGACTACTTTGCTCAAAATAAATGTCATATACTGGTTAGACCAGATTATAACAAATGTTGGATTGGTTGCTAAGGCGTTGAAGTTGAACAGCCGGGTTGGCGTTTTGACGAGTGATATGTAAGGGGCATTTATTGAGCAAGAGTCTATTTGAAGTACAGGTTAGGAGCTTCGATTCCAGTTATTTGAACCATTTGGCGCTATAGAATACAGAGTCGTAAACTATATTTAGGTCAAAGGCCGTTAACAGGTAGGTTCCATCCATAGTGGTGAGTTGGTCAACGTATAAGATTGAGAGTGATTGCAGTTTCATGATATTTTGCCGATATACCTTTAGAGAGAGGAAATGTAATATTGGTTGTGACCCGCCATCTATTTATTTTAGATTGTGATCCTTGTCTATACATTATTGAAATTTAAGTCCAATTTGCTTAGCAGCTGATAGTAATCCTGACCACCAGTCTTTAAAGGGTTTGGTGTCTATATAAGGCCAGTCAGTTAGCGAGAATAAGGGTAGCTATTCTATTAGTTGCAGTTGTAGAATTCGTAGCCGTGAAGTTGAACCAAGGAGTGACATGTCATTAATCATCTTTAATAAGTCCGATGATTTGGCTTGAAACTGTTTGTCATAAAAATGTGCTAAATTGTAACCAAAGGTTGAGTGGAGAACAGAAGAAGATATAAATCTTGAAAGTTCTAGTTTCTTCTTGAAGAAATTTCTGAAGGAGGCCATCAAAGTATCACAAGCTGATCGAGGAACAAACATCAGTTTTGTTTTGTATAAGAGACAAGGGATGATGACTGTATTGAAGATTGCAACCATTTGTTTAGCAGTTAGCCTTTTTTTGCTAAGTATGTTTTTTGTTTTAGTGAATTCATCACAAATTTGTTTGTTAATGAACTGTTTGTTATTAAACAGAGATACTAAGACTCCTAAGTATCTAGTGGATTCTTTGTAGTGTAATGGCGGGAGCTAAATACTTTTATCATTGAAGTTGAAATTGACTGGAGAGAAATCTTTGTTATTAATCATGAGGACTGATTTATCCCAATTGACCTGGATGCTGTTAAGTGTATAGAAGGAATCTGCTATGTTCATGATATTTAGAAGGTCAGCTCTGGAATTCACAAGTCAGAGTGTGTCATCCATATATGCCAATGTTGGAATATGATTTGAAAAACTTTGTATGTTGCGTTTTGTAACGTCAGTGTTCTAGTGAACATGTTGCGTATAACCATATGGGGAGTTTTGTATAAAACAGAGAAGCTAGTCGTAATATATACACCACAAAATGGGGATATAATTTCACCTTGGTCTATACCTGAAAGAACTAAGTAAGTATCAGAGTTACCGTGCGTGGTAAAAACTTGATTAAAACGAAGGAGGAAGATTGAAATCAAAAATTTTATAAATGCTTCTGGGATTTGGAGACATCCAAAAGCTCTGATCAACATGGTGATATTAACATGTTCGTATACTTTTGACATATCTTAGAACAAGATCCAAAGGTTGTTGTGATGAAATGAAGCGTCGTAATTGACATTATCAAAGATATGAATGGGTTCAAAGGTGCTCCTGTAAGGCAGACTAGCGAAGTTGTTTCCTTTGAGAATGTTATTGGTGGACAGAATGTTCAATAGTCGACCATTGATTAATTTTGTGAGAGCTTTACGTGGGCATTCTAAGAGCGTTATGGGCCTTGTGTTTGTTAAATTATATTCCCAAAGTTTTGGCTTGGGTATTAGATAAACAAAAGCCAGATTCCATCTATTAGGTACCAGGTTGAGAGACAGACATCTGCAGATGTGCCATTCTTCCTCTGAAGGGTGTTGCATAATGGAGTGGTATATCATAGGATCAATTGATTCATCGGGCATATAAACTTGTTCCCAAACCTCAGAGAGGGATGGGTTAGAATATTGTGAGCTAACCACTCTTTGAAAATGTCTTGCTGTTTCGTTTTTGACATCCTTTAGATCTATAAGGAGTTCTTTATCGGGGCTGCTGTTATTTATGCATCTGTCTAAAGTAATAGTTATGCAGGAGCGATCTAATAATGAGTCAAACATAGCTTTTTGGTTGTTCATAAAGTTATTACAACGTCTTTCAATAGCTTCGTCAATGGCTTTAGTTTTGAATTCAGCTTCATGCAATTTTGCTGTGATGGCTAGAATTTTATAAAGGTCGATTAGTAAGGGACTAATTGCCTTAATTTCTTGTAATGAGGAGTTACTAGTAGTTGAGAATGTTATAGAATAGTCAGTCGAGAAGGCTTGTATTTTTTTATACAAGGTGATCCATTTGAGATCTACAGCATTATCCTTGATGCATTTGTTAGTTAACTAGAATACATGGTCTAAGATCTCGATGGTGGTGTGATGTA